GCGACGCACCCCTTCTGGGCCCTGGAGAGTGAGCAGCTGTGGAGCCCCCGCGTGCCCGCCTGCGTCGTGTCCCTCTTCCTGGCGGGGCTGCTCTGCTCGGCCGGCGGCATAGGAGGCGGCGGCATTTACGTCACCGTCCTCATGGTCGCTTCGGATGCAACTCCTTCAGGAGGAGAAAAAACACACAGACACAATTAATCGGTGATCCCCAGGAAAATATGGGAAGTGGGGGGGAAGACGAAAACCCAGAAAATATAGGAAAATATGGGGGATATTTTTATTTGTGTGTATTTATTTGTGTGTTCCAGTTCCCCTTCACTCCTGGGAGGTCGAATTCAGATTCTGCCCTGGTCCGAAATCCGGCCCAATCCCGCTCAATGCGGCTAAATCCCGCTTGCTCCCGCTCAATCCGGACGAATCCCGCTTAATCCGAGGCCCGCTCAGGCGTGACAGCCACCCAATGGGGCTCAATCCTCCTGAGTCCTTCCGGCGAAGACCTCCCAGTAGTTGCCTCCTGAGGTCGCAGGAGGTCTCACCGTCGACGATGCGGTGCCGTTGTCGAAGGTCAGAGGAGGGCGAGTTGAGACAACGGTAGTCGGACTTCGAGGGGTGGCCCTCGTCGCCACGGCTGGACGCAGCTCGGACAACCTATGCGTTCGGATCCCGTGGTGGGGCCCGGGGACCGATTTTGAGCTGCCGTTGTCCCCATTCGCCTTCCGAGAAGGCCGTGGTGTTTCTGGGCTCCCTCGCGTCCCTGGCGCTGAACGCGAGGAAGGAGTGCGTGGCGCAGGGCAGCTCGCGGGCGCTGATCGACTACAGCGTGTGCCGCCTGGTCGTCCCCTGCTCCCTGATTCCCGGGGGGCGCCGACGGACCACCTCGCCGATCCCGGCTGGGCACATCCCGGGCACGTGGATCGGTGCCAGGAGGGCGAGGTGCACCGATCCCGAGCCCAGGATCGGCCGGGCCGGCACCGAGCGCGGGCGCCGGCCGACGCCCCCCGGCGATCGGCACCTACCTGGGCGTGCTGCTGAACCGGTGGCTGCCCGGCTGGGCCATCCTCTCGCTGCTCTCCGCCATCCTCGCCGCCCTCGCGGTGGCCACCGTGCGCGCCGCTTGGGCGCAGCACGAGGAGCTCGGATGCAACTCTTGGGAGGTCAAATTCAGACCTTGCCCTGGTCCGAATCCAGCTTACTCCCGCCTAATGCGGCTTAGTCCCGCTTCATCCGGCTTACTCCCGCCGAGTCCGGCTTGGTCCCGCTTATTCCGAGGCCCAATCCGGCGTAACAGCCCCCCCCTTGGGGCCTAATCCTCCTTTATCCTATGAGTCGGCATCGTTTCACCGATCCCCATCCCCGTTCCCACCCCCGTCCCGATCCCCACCGTCCCACCACCCCAGCTGGGGACGTGCCCCTCGAAGCCCGAAGGGCACTGCCCACGTCCCCACCTCGGGGGCACATCGGCCAGTGGGGCCCAGGCCACGCCAGTGGGGCCCAGGCACATTGCAGCGGAACAAAAAGTGGCATAAACATAAAAACTCGGAGGTCCGCGCGGATTTCTCGGATCGGCGCTGGGGCCCCCCGGCGGCGCCCCCAGCGCCGCCCCTGGCGCGCTCCGCGCGCAAGGGAGGGGGGTCCAGCGCCGATCCGAGACATCCGCGCGGACCTCCGGGTTTTTCTGCTCCTGCCACTTTTTGCTCCCCTCCCACTGGCCCGTGGGGCACGTCGGTCAGACGCTGCTCCGAGAGGCGGAGCGCGCGGCGCGCCGCGGAGGGGCGCCGCCGCGAGCGGCGGCCGCCGGCGCCGGCGGCAGCCCCGCCCGCGCGCCGCGGCCGCGCGCCGTGCCCGGCCCGGGCGCCCTCGCCTGCCTGCCCTGGTCGCGGGGAAGCCACAGGGTGCCCCAGACGTCGGGCGCCCCGAAGCGATCGAGAGGGGGAGCCATTTCGTAGTTCTGGGCCGAGACGTCGGGGGCCTCGCGCCGGGCCTCGGGAGCGTCAGAGCACGTCTCGGGACGAGAAACCGGTCCCGGGGAAGTGGTCGGGGAGGTCGGGGGCTCGCGTCGTCAAACATTGGGACGGGAGGTTTTCGGCCATTTTTGGCCTCGGTGGGCCCTCGCCGGGCCTCGGGAGCGTCAGACAACGACTCGGGACGAAAAACCGGTCCTGGGCAACGTGTCGGGACACTCAGGGGCCCCGGCATGGAAAAAATCAGGACGTCGCCTGTCTGGGTGCCAATGCCGCTACCTCCCAGACCTCTCCGGAGGGGTGCGCTCTGACCAGAGTGTTGGAGGCAGACACAGCGGTGGCGACGGTCGCCTCCCCGGAGGCCCCAAAGCGTGGAGAAGGCGAGGGGAGGTTAGAGGCATGGGGAGGAGGAGCAGGAGCAGGAGGAGGAGGAGGCGGAGGAGGAGGAGGAGGAGGAGCAGGAGGAGGAGGAGGTGGTGGTGGAGGAGGAGGAGGAGGTGGTGGTGGAGGAGGAGGTGGTGGTGGAGGAGGAGGTGGTGGTGGTGGTGGTGGAGGAGGAGGAGGAGGAGGAGCCCTTTTGTTCTGAGGTCGGGCCGTGGTCCGGGCCTGGCGCTGGGCCTGCCCGGCAGGGCCGTGCCCGGCCCGCCCCCGGCCGCCAGCCCCGCGCCGCCGGCGGCGGCCGCCGCGCCTAGCTCCTCGGGGCGGGGGGGCGCCCTCGCGGCCGGCGACGCGGCGGCGGGCCTGCTGCTGCTGCTGGCCGTGGTGGCGTGCAGCGTGCTGCGCTACCACGCGGGCCAGTGCCGGGCCGCGGCGCCCGAGGGCCGCCGCGCGGCGTGCCGGTACTCGGTGCCGTTTGCCCGAGATCCTCAGCATGCCCACGCCCATCCCCTGGGATCCTGTCGTGGCAACGTTTTCACACCGGGCGCGTGCTCGCCAGAGTCTGGGCCCCAGGACCCGCACAGGCCGATCCGGCTCGAAAAGCGACGCAGAGAACTGGGGTCCGGGGCTCCGGACGTGCTTTTTCGCGGTGTTGCAATGTTTTTCGCATTTTCGGATTTTAGGGTCCTCACCGCCTCACCACCCAGTTTTATGATGTTCCAACCTACTTTGGCTTTGATCACCAGAATTTCGAGCACCACGAAAGTACCGAAACTGGAGGGTTTTCACGCGTCGTGCCCTGTGAGGCGATACTCGTTTGACACTGTTTCGATATTTTTCTGGGTGCTCGAAAGTATTTCTGGGATGTGGTCCTTCAGTACGATGGGAACAACATAAACCCAGTTGGGCATTCGGAACTCGAAGGGAACCGCCCAGATCCCCATCCTGGGGGGGTATCTCGGCCAGCGGGGCCCAGGCCACGCCAGAGGGGACAGGGCTCGGTGAAACGGTGCGCAGGCTTAAGTCGGGCGTGTCCCTCTACAGGAGACATATTCAATGATACTGGAGACAACTCCAATCATATTTTTTGGGAAGCTATGGGGCTGTAGGGATATAGGGCCATGGGGCTACAGGGCTATAGGGCTATAGAGCTATAGGGCTATAGGGATCTAGAGCTATAAGGCTATAGTGCTATAGGGTTGTAGGGCTAAAGGGCTCCATGGCTATCAGGCTATAGTGCGATAGGGTTGTAGGGCTATTGGGCTACTGGGCTATAGGGCTATGGGGCTATAGGGCTATAGGGCTATATGGCTATGGGGATATAGGGCTATAGGGCTATTAGTCGATTTGGCTATAGGGCTATTGGGCTGTAGGGCTCCAGGGCTATAAGGCTATAGGGCTATAGGGTTGTAGGGCTATAGGGCTATTGGGCTATAGGGTTATATGGCTACAGGGCTATAGGGCTATAGAGCTACAGGGCTATAGGGCTATAGGGCTATAGGGCTATAGGGCTACAGGGCTATTGGGCTATTGGGCTATAGGGCCACAGGGTTATAGGGCTATGGGGCTATAGGGGTATAGGGCTACAGGGCACCTGGGCACTCGGGCACCCGGGCACCTCCGGGCGCTCCGGGCACCCCCGGGCACCCAGGCACCCGAGACCCCCGGACACCCGGGCACCCGGGCCCGGCCACCGAAATCGGCGGCGACGGGCACCTCGCCCGGCCACCGACATCGGCCGCGACGCTAACCTAACCATATGAATCCGCTAGGACCCCAACAAAGCCAAGCTCTCATTGGGAAGCAATAGTTCGAACAAATACTCTGGAATGATACCAGAAAAAAAAACCCAGTCATAATCTTTTTAGGGCTGTAGGGCTATAGGGCTACAGGGCTATATGGGCTCTTGGGCGCTATATGGGCTATATGGCTATATGGCTATATGGGTTATAGGGCTATAGGGCTATAGGGCTAAAGGACGATAGGGATATAGGGCTATAAGGCTATGGGGCTACAGGGCACCGGGCAGCCGGGCACCCGGCACCCGGCACCCGGGCACCCACCCGGGCACCGGGCACCCGTCACCCGGGCACTTGGGCACCCGGGCATCCGGGCACCCGGGCCCGGCCACCGAGTCGGCGGCGAACCCTGGCACCCGGGCACCCGGGCACCCGGGCACCCGGGCCCGGCCACCGAATCGGCGGCGCACCTCTCCTACCTTTAAATCCGCTAGGACCCCTACAGAGGCAAGCTCTGATTGGGGAATTTCGTTGTTCGAGTATTTTTGGACTCTTCTTTTTTCCCAAGCGGTCTTCAGTCCTGGTTGGGTATTCGTTTTGAATAGAGCACTGCGGTCTCCAGTCCTTCTCCTCCTCCTCCTCCTCCTTCTCCTCCTCCTCCCGCCTCCCGTCTCTCGCTCCCCTCTTGTCTCCTCTTGCCTTGCGCGAACCTGGCCATCCCTGGGGGCTGCGATCTGTGACACTGTCCCACTTTCGAGGGCTGGCTGCTGGGTCCTGCGGAGTGAGGCACCGCGGGGATCTGAGCGGGACCTCGCCGTCCCTGGGGGGCTGCCATCTGCGAAATTGTCGCCACTTTCGAGGGCTGCTGGTGGGTCCTGCGGAGTGAGGCACCGCGGGGATCTGAGCGGGACCTCGCCGTCCCTGGGGGGCTGCGATCTGCGACACTGTCGCCACTTTCGAGGCTGCTGGTGGGTCCTGCGGAGTGAGGCACCGCGGGGATCTGAGCGGGACCTCGCCGTCCCTGGGGGGCTGCGATCTGCGACACTGTCGCCACTTTCGAGGGCTGCTGGTGGGTCCTGCGGAGTGAGGCACCGCGGGGATCTGAGCGGGACCTCGCCGTCCCTGGGGGGCTGCGATTTGCGACACTGTCGCCACTTTCGAAGGCTGCTGGTGGGTCCTGCGGAGTGAGGCATCGCGGAGATCTGAGCGGGACCTCGCCGTCTCTGGGGGGCTGCGATCTGCGACACTGCGCCACTTTCGAGGGCTGCTGGTGGGTCCTGCGGAGTGAGGCACCGCGGGGATCTGAGCGGGACCTCGCCGTCCCTGGGGGGCTGCGATCTGCGACACTGTCGCCACTTTCGAGGGCTGCTGGTGGGTCCTGCGGAGTGAGGCATCGCGGGGATCTGAGCGGGACCTCGCCGTCCCTGGGGGGCTGCGATCTGCGACATTGTCGCCACTTTCGAGGGCTGCTGGTGGGTCCTTCGGAGTGGGGCACCGCGGGGATCTGAGCGGGACCTCGCCGTCCCTTGGGGGCTGCGATCTGCGACATTGTCGCCACTTTCGAGGGCTGCTGGTGGGTCCTGCGGAGTGAGGCACCGCGGGGATCTGAGCGGGACCTCGCCGTCCCTGGGGGGCTCTGGAGAGCTGCTGTGGGATACGTTAGGCGCAACGGGCGCATGGCACAGCCAACGGGGGTGATTTGTGAAACAGACCATCTGCCGCGCGATGGCCATAATTTTGCGCCTACACGTATCCTGCGGTGGCTCTCAAGAGCTGCTGTGGGATACGTTGGGTGCAGTGCAACGGGCGCATGGCACAGCCAACGGGGGTGATGCCCGACCTAAGGCCAGATCCCCATCTGGGGGGGTACCTCGGCCAGCGGGGCCCAGGCCACGCCTGGAGGGGACGGGGCTCGGTGAAGCGGTGCGCAGGCACCCCGCGGTGTTCTGGCTCGGCGGCTCCCTGGACGCGCTGGCGCACGACGAGGGTCGCTCGGCGGCGCGCTAGAAGAGTTGAGTCGGGCATGTCCCTCTACGGGAGGAGGGTTCAAGAGTAGCAGAAAATAGTCAGGGGCCAATTTGTTCGACCGTTTTCGAGTCTTTTTGGATGGCTTTGGGCTGTGTTTTTCATGTTTCCTCAGAGCTTCCCCTGTATGCTCCTTCCTTGAATCGCGAAGCGATTCTGGCCTGTTCCCGGTCCTCCCAGAGGGCCACCGTGCCTCGCAGCGCGCCCGTCGCCCAGCCATGGGCTGCCTCCGGCGATGATGCTTCGCCTCGCCTCGCTTCGCCTCGCTTCGCTCCCCCCTGCATCGCCGAGCGCGCTCCGCTACTCGCAGAGTGCCCACTTCCGAAAAGCGCACGTCTGCCTGCGTGTCAAACATCGCAAATCCCCCATGGCGGCTCCATAGCTACTTTGCGAGCAGCTACTTTGCGAGTATAAAGGGGCCCCAGGGCACACAAATAAATACACACAAATAAAAATACCCCCCATATTTTCCCCAATTTTCTGGGTGTCTGTCCTCCCCCCCCACTTCCCACATTTCCCCATATTTTCCTGGAGGTCGACGATTCATTGTGTCTATGTGTTTTTTTTCCCTCCTGCGAGCCGTGCATCGCGCTCGTCCACTGCAGGAGGGCACGTTCCCGCCTGGCAGCGGAGTCGCAAAGTGCCCACTTCCGAGAAGAGCATGTCTGCCTGCATGCAAAACATCGCAAATCCCCCATGGCGGATCCATAGCTACTTCGCGAGCAGCCACTTTGCGAGTAATGAAGGGGCCCCAGGACACACAAATAAATACACACAAATAAAAATACCCCCCATATTTGCCCATCTTTTCTGGGCTTTGTCCTTTCCCATATTTTCCTGGAGGTCGACGATTCATTGTGTCTGTTTTTTTTTTTTTTCCCCTCCTGAGAGCCGTGCAACGCGCGCGTCTGCTGCAGGAGGGCGCGCTCCGCTACTCGCAAAGTGCCCACTTCCGGAAAACGCATGTCTGCCTGCGTGCAAAACACCGCAAATCCACCATGCCTGCATATAAAACATCGCAGATCCCCCATGGCGGATCCAGGCCACCTGCGAGCAGCCACTTTGCGAGCAGCTACTTTGCGAACGCGCTCGTCCGCTGCAGGAGGGCGCGCCCCCGCCTGGCAGAGGATCACCTCCCACCAAACCACCCCAACCCAACCCGAAGGCTCGGATTTACCCTCGATTTCCAGTGGGGGGGGGGATCGGGAAACATTGAAAAAACACGTGTGGAACCCTTACCCCAACCCGAAATTCGGGTCTTCGGGTTGGGATTGGGGTGGTCTGGTAGGCAGGCAGCGGAGTGGGGGCAGCCCGGCGGGGCGCCGGCCGCGCACCGGCGCCGGCCCCGGCAATAGGCCGAGCCCGGGCCCCGCCGGGGGCAACCGCCCCGCGGGGGC